ACTGGAAAGTTGGAAGAAGGAAGGGGAAAAAAAAAAGGTAACAAAGAGCGGAAAAAGCTTTCGACCCTCCCAGCTACTGTGGAAACGTCCGTGGCTATTGAACAATGTGAGTCTGGTTCCTGTGTGGGGCTCAAGCGTCTCTGACAGAGGGGGGAAAAAGAGGTGGTAGGAATATAGTTTATTCAAGGAACTTCTGAGCTTGGCTGCCTTCTAAACTTATCTGTGAACAGGAACTCAGCTTTTATCAACTGCCTTCTCCCTCAGGCACAGGAAAAGGATGTTAGCTTAAAGGAAAGGAAAAGAAAGGAAAGAAAATATTAAGTGGTGTAACAGACTCATGTTACAGTGCCAGAAACTGTCACAAACCTGTTTGCGTCAGTATCTGCACTGTCTCTTTTTTATTACAATTCAGGGGCTGAAATACCCTGGCTTTAGCAGCAGAATATTCATGGTATGTACAGCAAGCTATGGGCACTAAGGGGTTCGCAGTAAATGCACAGTAAAAAAGAGCTTACAGACATCGATTTTTGTGTGGCGTTTGCAAAGTAGCTCTGTGAATCATAGTCTCTTCCCATCAAAGTGGAACATTTTCATGAAACAGGTCTTCAGAGAGGTCAGGGCCATGGAGCATTTTTAAGACTTTCTTGTTTGGGTTGTCATCTCTGGATCTCACACATGGGTTTTCTGTGCATTTTTAATTGCTGTTGACAAAAAAATGCTTGCCAAGAGCTCCTGCAAAGAGCTACCTCTGTCACCACATCCTATTAATAAATACAAAAAAGGCTGTGGAAGTTGTATGTAGTTTTCTTACCAGTTTTGCTTTACTTGATGGTGCGGCTTTTAGTTTTGTTGCTATACTTCATTTCTTACTGACTTTCAGGGTGATATGCTCTGGCATTTTTAAGAATAAAATGGGGGAGAGTGGTGCTCTACTGACAAAACAGATGGGAATGCTGGTGCGGGACTGCTAGAGCATATCTACGCTGAATGATGAGATGTGCAGACCAAAGTTCAGGACATCCTGCGGAACATTAAATGTAAAGCTTTTCTGGAATCATTCCAATGCCAGCTGAAAAACAGAGGGTAAAATCTCTTTAGGATTTTGAAAGGCCTTGTTATTAGAGGCTGTGAATTTATATCTCCTTGTCATTGGTTGGATTTGCACCCTCTCCTCCTGATTGCCCCTCCTTTATGCTTCATGGAAGAGCCTATTAAAATGCAGAAATGCCCTTACTGACCTGTGACAGATATCGCTGTGTAAGAGCAATTAAACACTATAGCAGAGACAGGGGCACATGGGGCAAGGTAGAGAGAGATTTTGGTAATTCTAAGGGCAAAACCTGCTTTCTGTTGTAGTCGCTTCTCCAGGGAGATGAAATCACAACTTCTGGGCTGAAGACTGAAAGAAATAAGCAACTTCCCTCTGTTCCTTCCTGCTGTTTTTATTTCAGAATTGTGTGCATCCTGCTATAATACATGTTAATGTGTGAGTATCTTGTGTCATGTTTCACACACAAATGTGTCTTTCTTACAAGTAACTGGATGTGACCTAAGCATTATGTTTGTTTACTTAATAAGACCCATTCTTGGGAAGGAACTGAAACAAACATGAGACAAAACAAACAACAGGCTTCTAACTTGAACTGCTGTGTGATCATGGCTTGCAGAAAAGTGATTTTGGGCTACAGGTATTGCCATTGTCCCACTCGTGATCTACTTCCAAACCCTTTGGACTTGTCTTTCAATATATACCTTTCCACTTAGTCTTAACTCATCCATTAAATCTTTATTCTTAGGGATGTGACACCTTCCAAGTGGTGGGGCAATGTTTCTCTGCCATCCTCCTGGCTCAGAACATCTGCCGCTCCTTCAGGTGCAAGAACCCATTCTCTGACACTTTGGAATGGTGCTGCGTATGAGTGCAGCAGTCAGGAGGCAAAGATTGCTCAGCCAATTGCAAGTTAATAATTTGCCATGACTTTCTGGTGGCAGTTATGAAAGATGTTAAAATATTGAGCATCCCGTGACTGATGTCTCTTTCCTTGTGTTGGGCATAGCATGGGATGCTGCCATAAACACATGGAGGGCATGAATTGTCCAAAGGATCTTCCTTACTAAACACTAGTTAAGGCTTCTGTCTAAGAGCTGTTCTGATTTGGGGAGTCTGACTTAACATAGTTATACTGATGGTGCATAACGTTAGATTTATTGTCAAACTGAGAGTTATGTTTTCTTGCTTTAACATTTGTAAAGACATATCTGTGAGGAGTGTACCTGTTTAGGAGCAAGATACACCACAACTTTGCCTCTCTCTTTTTGAGCTGGTGCCTCAGCATGGAACCAGGCAAAACAGACACAAGGTCATTTCTGTAACAATTTGCTCACTGCTTTCTGAGGTCAGTCACTTCTAGGAGATAGATACCTTCTAGATGAGAAAGGCAACTGTGCACCAACTAAGATCCATAGGTACCTATTCACTCTTCAGCTACCTGGTTTAGGCTTGATGTAGCTTATGGATCTGGGTACCACCTGCTGTAATGGAATAAATGGGTGAGAATAATCAAATTTAAAATGTAGTTTGGGAAATGATTTGGAAATAGATGTTACTCCAAAAGTATACGTGAAACCTTATCAGTAAATAACATGATAATAGTGGTGTGCAGATGGTTGAAACTGCCCAGAAACTTCTCGGAAGTTTCTAGCAGTTCTCAGAACACTGAGCCAAAAAACACCCATCCCACCTGCTCTTTATTTTGGCAAGTAAATTTGACAGGTGACAGATAATTGTTCCTGCACTCTTGGTTCCCAGTCATCAGAGGCTTTTTTTCCTGTGCCCTTATTCACAAAAATATTTTTTCCCTGGTATTTCTGAGGAATAGTTCTTCAAACTATTCAAACTAGTCTTCAGACTTGAAACTAGTCTTGAAAGAGCTGATATTGCCAATTACACCAGATTCATCACTATGCCCTGGGATCTTGCAGATAACTGTCAGGACTACTCTTGCCTTGCTGGGCAATTATGGTTGTTCCCATGAAACACAGCTCTTCATACTTCCCCCACACCCAATGCTGCCCACCCTGAGAATTCAGTGTCCCATTTTCAACTCCATAACCAAGTTGTCAGATACCAGCACTGTCTTCTGGATAATCTGAATAAGATTTAAAACCTCATCTTGGCCCTTCTCTTTGTTTAGTCAGAGCCCCGCAGCTACAGTTGGATAAGGTGACTACGCAGTAAACAGTGCCAAACAGTACACTTGATAAACAGCTTGTACAACTTGGAAAGCAAATGCTCTGGCTATTCTGGTCAGTGTCTCTCTGGAAAAAGAGCCCTTAGAAATTAAATTTTCAGTTAATAGATTCAGATTTTTCTGTTTGTTCCTCTTGTATCTTCCCACATTCACTGCCTACTCCATAAGCTATTGAATTGTAGACTTAAGTTCAGAATCTGTGTATTTAGAAGAAAATTCTCAGAAAAATGTTTAAAAATGTTTAACAAGCACGTGTTGCTTTAGATTCATATATTCCAGCTCCAAGCCTCTGAAGCAGACTGAATAACTGAAAGGATTTTATATCTGGAAAGATGAATAGCACAGTTTTGTTGATAGCTGCACAGCAAGGGGATAACTTCTCATTAGGCACTGGGCTTTAGATCTGGAAAATGCTGTCTCATTCCCTGCCTGCTGCTGATGCATGCACCTGTGTGTGCAGCAGCTCTGGGGAAGGGGAGCATGGGGATAGGAGTGTTGGGAGGGGGGCTGCTGGGCTAGGAAGCGGTTCCTTTCAGGGGTCTGTCCTTCAGAGGAAAAAAGATGAATTCTAGTTGACTGTATTTTTATTAATTTGTTCAAAAGCTATCTATGGTATTCAGTGGCAGAGATCAGTCACAAAAGACTGCTGTTCTGCCAGCACTCTGCTTGATGAAAGTGCCCCTTAAAAATGGCTCGCCTGTCAGCCTTCACCTATTTCATTCCCTGGCAGAGGAAATTACTGATTAACTATGCAAACGTACACGCAGGGATTCGAGTCCTAAACTGTTTTTGCCAAGAGGATGTCAGACAACTGCTTGTTTTCATTAGGGCATGAAAATGAACGATCTGAGACACTTCTCCCTTCTGCATTTTAAGTTTTCATAAATGGGGAGAGAGGGAGGATTTCTGTTTATGTAGAGCAAGGTTTGATCCTGTTAATGTTAGTATTATTCTCCATAGAAAACCTTCCCAAACAAAGGATATTTACGAGCCACAAAAACAGTCTATCTTTCCTTTCCTTTCCTTATCCATCTTTCAAACAATGTCATACACCATTTAAATACTTCAATAGAATATGACTAATTCTCACTGCTTTCATCCAGCAAGATGCCTTTGTCAGCTGTTAGTCTCCAGTGTGAGGTCATCGTTAAAGGGCAAGGTTAAGGTTTTGTATGCAGAGTAGCTTGCAGCTGGGAAAATTAAAGAGAGAAGAGACACAAATTCAGTAAAATCCAGTTTTAATCTGTTGCAGACATGAAGATGATGATGGTAGAGAACAGGAAATCTTGATTTCTGCTTTGCATTCCTTTCTTTCCCTTGCATCTGTGCTTTGGAAATGGGTAGACTTGAGTCAGACTTGTCTTACCTGCATTCCAGAATTACTGGCAGGCACTGTACAGGCCTGCTTCCAGGTATTAGCCACCAACACCTGGAGAGAGATTTAGGCACATGGGAGGTGGGGAACTGCACCTTTCAGAGACCCTCTAGAAACTGCCCTGTTATGTAGTAAAAGACTTAATGGACAAGCTGGAGCAGCCAGAATTCAGACTTTAAGTGAACAACAGTTGCATGGTGTGTCATTGCACAAGTCAAGACAAGGCTTTGTTTTGGTATTATGCAGATTAGCTAGACGTTTGTGAGACATGAATTTGTTTACAAAGTGATATGAATTAAACTCAGTGGAAAAAATGGGTTATCTGAATTGCCCACTGGAGGGGCTTCTCTTTAGCTGCTGATTATATTATCTAATGAAAGGGAAAAACTTTTCAGGCACAAAGTTGGTATTCTAGCAAAACTTTAAAGCCAAAATTGATTACATTAACTCCTGCTTATTAAGGTTCCCCTGAGGCAGGGTTGGCAACCGATCAGGGCTGCATCCTCTGCTTAGAATAGAAATAGGGTACCGCAGTTGCCATGGGGTGGCAAACGTTCAGGAGCTCTTACTGATATTTGCACTATATAGCTCACCTACAACATGATCTTGAGTCCAGAGCTTTCCTAAAAGGGTTTCAAGGTAAAACAATGCCTGTGCAACTGCCTACTGCCTTGGGAGAGATCCAGCAGCATTTAAATGCCTCTTGTGAGCTTTTCCTGAAGGTCACTGGGAGAGGAGAAGGCAGGAAAGGAGTATCCCACTCGAGTACCAGCTAATTCAATCTGGTGATGATTCATGTTTCATATCCCAGAATGGTTTGATATTTCATGTATTTGTTACCATTTATAGCAATGAAAAATATGTAGAATTCAATTGTACAAATCATAATGACATAACAATAGCTTAACAAAATCAAAAAACACTTCTCACTCAGCCTTATCAGCCTAGGCATTCTCCTGAAAATACCAGTAAACCCCATACCCTGGGAAGCCCTGTGCTCTGCTTTCATGGTCCTTGAAAGGCTAGTGACAAAGTAAAATGGGCCCTATAGCAATTCCCAAAGATGGTAAATTCACTTTTTACCAAATGTAGTAAAAACAAGACTCCTGCCCTGTGCCTGTTGAAATCAATGGGAGTCTTGTGACTGGCTCCAAGAGCGGGTAGGTTAAAGCATTGC